TTCGCAATTTACAGATGCATGGTTTCCAGCGCACCTGATGCATTTGGGTTTGCGGTGACAGTATCCTTTCGTGTGCCCATACGTTTCGGGTGAGGTGGTTCAAATGTAACTGTAGTATATAAGAGTTTCTTAACCAAATAGATATCCTTATTGTTTAGGTTTGATGCAAGTTCAATAATAAACATGGGAAGAGGTTCTCCTGACCCTCTACGCTTAATGTTCCAAACGTTTACAGCCGTATGTTCTTGCTCCAGAAGTGCATTTTTGATTTCATCAATATCGGTTGAGTGATGCAAATTTTTTAATATAATCCTTAAGCTTCTCTCGGTTTTTGGTTTGTAAGTGTAAAATTCAGTGTTTTTGAGCTCCAACTGTTTTACATTGCTTACGTAAAAGTCAGATGTAGAAGGTTGAATTCTTACTTGACTTGGATTTAGTACTTTTAAGTTGAATTGATTCGGCTCATGTTCGTTTAACACATATATTAGAGGCATGATGCAATATACCTCATCAATAACGATAGATGGATGTTTCAGTATTTTTGGAACCGTATCATTATTTTTTAACAATTCTTCAGTTTCTTTAGAGACATCTACCTGAAGATCTGTGTATCGGTTTGGTTTGACGTGTTCATTTAGCCAGTATGAGTCTAGCTTGGTTTGTTTTTGGCTTGTTTGATAATTTTTACTTGGGCTATTGCGTTGACGTTTACGTTTACGATTATTAACTATTGTCCAAGTGTCGTTAACAGGGGAAGCGTTTCTGGTGGCTAAAGCTTCGTTCAAACCTTTGTCTTGGAGGAGGTTATTTTTTTCATCATTATACAATTTTTGAAGCTGTTTTTGAAGTTGTAGAATTTGTTGTTATATATTTTTCACCTGAACTGATTTAGATGACCTAAAGTCGCATTGCTTAGTGCCTGTAACGTGTTCATGTTAGATTCTTTGCGTGTATTGATTTATATTGTTGCGTGTTGGTTTGGGGAACTATGTTTTAACGTTTCGTTTTTATTATTTATTAATTTAATTTTATTAGCGATGGCAATTTCGCTAGCTATTTTTGTTATACTTGTTTCAATTTTTGAATTTTCTAAAAGTATGTTTAGGGAATGATTTATTATTTTAGAGTCATCTTTGTTTAGTGTTATATAGCCATTTGGGCCATTTTCACTAATTAGAGATTGCCGCCGTACAACTCTTCCGCAATCGCTCATACAACGGATTCAGAATATTTATATAGTTAGTTTCTCAGCATTACGTTCCTAGATTAGGTTCTATACATAAGAAAGAACAAATCATGCAACAAATAATGCCTTTACGAATAGAATAGTTTTGAAATTTAACAATTAAAAATAAGAAATATAATTAATTAATTAATTCAATTATTCTACAGCTGGTTTATGATTTCGTTCTAATATATAAATACAGCAAGTAAAATTGTTAATAAAAACTTTCATAGTAAAAGTAACAAAACTCCAGCAAAAATATGCGAACATAAAAAGTCAAGTACGGCTTTGGATCAGTTGGTTAAGGTGCGCTGATTCTGAGCTTTATATTTGGCAGGACCCGAGTTCGATTCCTGGTACTTGCAGTCTCAAAAATAATTATTTACGAATAATTATATATAAGAATTATTTCCAAATCCACTGATGAGGGGATTTGGCAATACTCGAAACAGCTGTATGGTCAGCCAAAAATTCAATTAATTAAAATAATTCAAAAAAAAAAGTTTGTTGCCGAACATAATAAATCAAAATACTTTAAAATTTATATTAAAAAATTAATTGAAATTATGATTCTGATTAATACATATTACATGATTAAGCAAACTAAACTGATTAAAATTGACTAATTTAAATGTTTATATATTAATTTATATATAAATAAAGTATTCGTGTGGCTGTAAAGCTAGACTTTCTTTGTATGGTGACAAAGAAGCTTTATTAAAATTTAGAGGGGTTTTGAATAGCAAAGAAAGAAATAAAGGACAAACACAAGAATTTATTTTTAATTTTATTGAAGTTTGGCTGACCATACAACGCTGTTTCGAGTATTGCCAAGTACTCTTCATCAGTGATCTTTGGAATAATCGAATTTTGCTTGGACTGCAAGTGCCGATTTGTTATCGCTTCTAATTTGACAGGCACGAGTTCTAAGCCTGGCACTTGCAGTCCAAACAAATTATATACGGACTATAAACTAATTAAATAAAAATTCGGTGAAGATGAAGAGTATTTGGCAATACTCGAAACAGCGTTGTATGGTCAGCCAAACTTCAATAAAATTAAAAATAAATTTTTGTGTTTGTCCTTTATTTCTTTCTTTGTTATTCAAAACCCCTCTAAATTTTAATAAAGCTTCTTTGTCACCATACAAAGAAAGTCTAGCTTTACAGCCACACGAATACTTTATTTATATATAAATTAATATATAAACATTTAAATTAGTCAATTTTAATCAGTTTAGTTTGCTTAATCATGTAATATGTATTAATCAGAATCATAATTTCAATTAATTTTTTAATATAAATTTTAAAGTATTTTGATTTATTATGTTCGGCAACAAACTTTTGTAGAAGCGAATTTTTTTATAAAGTAGAAAAAATAGTTTTGAATATATCTTATTTAATGATTTATATTTTCTTAAATATTTTTTGAGCGTATAAAACATTATTTCTAATATAATATTGAAATAATATCATTATTTGCTGTTATAATAGGTAATTACACATACACATAATTACACATTATATAATAAAGACCGAAGCTACTACCAATTTACTTTTTTATACGGCAACACTCAAGTGGTGAATGATGAATTATATATCTCTGCATAGGCAAATTTTTCAAATTTAGTGCTGAAAAATCGATTGGTGTGTGAGGATGTACGCGCATTTCCTGTAAATTTATGTGATGAATGGCACGTATTTTTAGTTTGCATGCATTTCTAACTGATCAGTAACGATAAATCTGTTGATGGGTGAGGCTGCACGCGCATTCACTTCAAATTTATGTGGTGAATGATGCATATTATTCGTTAGATACATTACTGTATGATTAGATTTATATAAATTTTTTAAGTAGGAATATTTTTATATGCAATTTAATAAAAAAGTATTTTATGAATATTGAAAAATCTTTAATTTACCATCATATTTATAAAATATATTTATTAATAAATATTAAAGTATTTAAGAATATTAGCTAAGTTTAATTAAAAGAAGTACAAGTTGTACTCATAATTTATTATTTTTAAGAATTGAAATAATAATAACGATAATTTAATAAACATACAAATTTATTAAAGGCATTTGTGTAAAACAATATATATTGTTTGCGTACATAAGGAATTAAATTTAAATAAAATAAATTGTCTTTTTTGAATAATATACTAAAAATATGTTCAATATGATATTAAAATCTGGGACTAGATTATTGTACTGGCTAATTATAAATATTAAATTATTAAATTTTTACATGTAAAAAATTAAAATTTAAAAACAAAATTAGAAACAAATTTATAGCATTTTACTTAATAAAAAAATAAAATTGTGATATAGTAGTTAATTTTGAAAAATATTCTTATAATAATAACATAAAATTATGTGAATTTTTATTCAGAAAACACAAGTGAAGGTGTATGTAGTTAATTAAATCGAAAGGCTATCGCATTTATAGATATATTTCCTTATATATTTGAATATAAAAAACTATTAAAAAATGTTTAATATCTATGTAATTTAAATTTGTTCACATTTGAAAAGAGTACAAAGAAAATGCTTATCAGGAACTCACATATGACTTACCCTTAGAAGCTTCTGCCTGAAATCAGGGGTACTTAGGTCCCTATTAAAAAATTTGAAATTAAAATGCATTCGCATTCTTATGAAAGGAATTAATAAACTGTCTGGTTTGCAATTTTGCCAGTAAGTATATGGGCGTATGCTAGCCAACTTTTTATATAAAAATTGAGCTATACCTACCTTAGAGTAATTTTTTTCAAAATAAGTACAAAATTCTTCATCTAATCTTCTAATATAACTAATAAAGTCGCTAGGAGGATGTACCAAGCTGCAACCATCAAATTCTTTTTCAAGTGTGAAGAGGTAATCACTTGAAACATTATTTGCTCAAGGTAGGGAAGCTAAACAATGATGTGACTTAAATATTTTTAAGTACATCCAACCACAAACGTAGGTAAAAGCATTTAGTATTTTATTAAAAATAAAATTGTTGAATTCAATTAATAATAAATTAAATAATATTAAAAGTCTTTAAACTATTAATACATTTGAATATGAATATTTTAATATACAAATATAATTTACATACTCCACTCTTTTTACCATCAAAAAATTGTATACAATTTTTGTTTTTTTTTATATTTCTTATTGGATTTTTCACATATTTAACAACACACAAATTAACACATAAGACAACTTTATTAAAATATATTAAATATATATTCACATATATTTTTGCTTTACTAATTTGTATTTATACACATCAAAACAAACAAATCACATTAAATACAAAACATATATTTTAAATCCACAATTAATAAATTATTGTTTTTTTACCTTCTTTCGTCATTTTTAGGAAATTTATACATTCCCTTAAATAACTTACATCCCATTACGCAATTCCGCACCATTTTCAAATATTAATAAAGATATATAATAATTAATATAATAATAATTATAATAAATATAATTATTTTTTCAAAGAAACTTATTCACTGCTTTTTATAACTCAATTTGATTTGACTACGTTTTTCAGTTTTTGGCGCATTTCTCCTGTCAAAATAACTAAACAAAACCCAATTTGTGGTCATCATATTGCTCTTTCGTAATAAAAAAAATTAAGACCGTTCGTGGTGGTGAAACGTTCCGTTCGGGGTGGTGAAACTTTTCAGTCGTGGTGAGTCGAATTGCAACAACAAAACAACGTGTTTGGTTTGGTAGTAGTAAATTATTTGAGAGTGGATTGGTTGGTTTTATTTTGTTTACATTTAAGTTGCCGTTCTTGCACAAGTATTCTTTGCTTAAGATTAAGCTTGTCTAATAACGTATTACAACATTTTAACACGTGATAATTCGGAAGTAAATGATGGCACCTGTACGGTTTTTTGTATCAAATTTGCCTCAAAATATCGAAGATAAAGATTTAATAAAATTGTTTCAAAAGTACGGTAAAATTCAACGTGTAGAAATTAAATTGAAAGAGAATTTGCTAGAACCGGGAAACCTCAACATAATTGCATTTGTTACACTAGAAATAAATGAAAGGGATGTGAATTATTGTAAGAAATAAATATATATATATATTTTTCTCAATAATTATTTTTATTTGCAGGTTTAAATGAGTTAAAATGGTATAAAATAAAAGAATCAGTAATTTCCGTGTCATTGGCAAAAGAGTCTTTTCTTGATCGCTTAGATCGTGAGAGACAAGAAGCAAAGCAAACCATTTCCGATAATGTAAAAGTTCCAAAATGTGAAACAATAATACTTAAATCATCATTTCTAAACACAAAAAAAAAATTTGATGAAGATTCTGATTTGAATGCAGATATCGATTCGCAACTGCTCATAGCAAAGAAGAGTGCGGCAAATTCAATTAGCAATGGAAAAGTACATATGATTTGCATTTGTTATGAATAAATTTTAAAGGCTTATTTTTTCTGAAACATTTTAGATTGTCATACAAAATCTTATTAATAATCCAATTCATATAATTAGCCAAAGAAGTGAACAGCTAAGCAAGAAATTGGACCCAAAATCTAGTTCAGCAGACCAAAAGCGTAAGGAATCTTTAATGAAAATGAAAAATCAATACAATAAGAACAAACTTGTTATTCAGCAAGCATTATCAGGTTTGGTAAGAATGGAATTTGTATTTACTGCTTAATTCAAGATACTAATTTTATGACTATTATTGTGATACTCTATTTAAATGTCGTCATTTTTAATTCCCGAACTCTTCAGATTAATATATTTTGGTGAACTTTGTTATTGTAATCAACTTTTTCCACTACTCTATATATCAACATAGCATATTTCTCAAGGTATAAATGTGTGATGTGAATTTTTTACGTTGATTACATTAACCAAAAAAAACTTCACACGTCAATCACAAATACTTTGCTTGATTAAACCAAAGAATCTAGAGTACAAAGAAGCATCACGCTCATACAAACGAAATATCTCCACATTATATGATACGCATGTTTGTATGTTCGATTTCAGTTAAATATTTAGGCTATTAAACAGCATTTCAGTGACAAAATCCAAATTGTGTATATTTGATAAATTTTTGAATTTAATAATACATAAAACAAAATTACTTGCTTGAAGTTGTTCTGAAGTGTGGTGTAAAACCACAATACGAATTTATTTATGTCTCAAATCTGGGTTTTTCCCTTCTCTGAAGCTTTGTTTTTAAATGTTGTTCATTCACAATGTTTCCGAAGCAATATCGTAGTCACCAATTTTAACATTTCAATCCGGGTTTCGTCATTATTAGTGATTTTAATGACTTCTATACATTTTTCCATTATTATTTTTCTTATATTTCTAATATTTTTATTTTCTTTAAAAATCTTGTCAAACAATTTTGTATGTATCTCGCAAATATTAAAAAATGAATTTGTTGGTGCACACAAGTTTCCAAAATCACTGTTAAGCTTACAAAATTTATTTGAACATTTTACAATCATTTTTTTTCATTGTGTTCATTCGACATTTTTGACATTTTTGATGACGTGCAACGTAACCAAACCAATCGACTAGAAGTCAATTCTATAGGAATTTCGATATGTGTTCGGTATTAGGATTTTCGATATGTACTCCTTGCAAACTGCGAATATTTTCTAATTGCAGTTTGAGCAGACATCTAATTGCAACATAACATCCTCATCTTCAAAGCAATTTGATTGTGAGCTGAACTGATACAATTTAAAAAACAATAGTTTTCCAACAATTATATTAAACTCCTACACCGACAGATTATTGTTATGAGCACCTTTAACACGTATTTACGAAAATGTGTCTTCTAATGGATCTTGGTTGAAGGGGCTAGTCAGAATAAGGAAAATGTTTGTATTTTCTTCTATACTATTTGTCGTTTGAAATAATCCATCAAAACAATGTATTTTGCAACCTTTATATTGAAGGTTTTTAATATACTCTTTTAAATCCAAAAGCTCTTTCCAAACAATATTTTCGAATCTTAACCTACGTTTTAAAGGCTTGTGATCATTAAATATTTTACTCATAAGAGCATCAAAGCAGTTGTCAATGATATCAATAAATGCTGACGTATTCGCTTTGATCGAGGAATCATTTCTATGGAATTGTTAATTTAATTGTTAATAGTTGCGGATTTAATTGTTGCTGCAACAGTATGACTCAGAGTAAGAGCAGCAAACCCCATTCGCATTTTTTTCAAAATTAGTAGGTGGAATATGAGATACTGTCAATTTAGTCATTTCCCTGTTTTAACTTAAACATTGTGAATTAACAACATTTAAAAACAACGCTTCATAGAATGGAAAAACCCAGATTTGAGACATAGATAAATTCGTATTGTGGTTTTTCACCACACTTTAAAATAACTTCAAGAAAGTAATTTTGTTTTATGTACTATTAAATTCAAAAATCTATCAAATATACACAATTTGGATTTTGAATTCGCATTTAGTCGGGGTTTTGTTAGTCTAACTGGGTTCACATATAGGTTTAAACTGAACATCATACCAATTTGATTTGATCGAATATTGTTGCATGTGAGGTTGGGTAGATTTATTAAAAATCCACCAGGAAAATAAAGTGGATATTTCGTTTGTATGAGCGTGGTGCTTCTTTGTACTCTAGATTCTTTGGTTTAACTGTATTGTAATATGCCTAATTTAAAAAATATTGTTTATGAACAATACTCGCACTAAGTTTTTAACTATTTCTTATAATATTTTTTTTCTAAGCTTAATCGCTTTGTATTCATTGATATTAACATTAACATGTAACATGGTGCTTGTCATTTTTTTTATTCGCATATTCATTTCTTCTATAATTCAAATAAAATATTACTTTATGAAATTTTAAAATACTCCTGTAATGTTAAATTTTAAATGATATATTTGCTAGGAGTTTTCAATGGGTAAAAAAATTAAATTCACTGAGGAGGAAGATAATATGAATAAACAAACTCGCACTAATATTTTTGGTTTTGATGATGAAACTAACAAAACTGATCCTGATGTTTATCTGAAAAATAAATACAATAGTTTAAAGAGTGAAAAACTTTTTGAGTTACAAAAAAAAAACACTGATTCAAGATTTAGAATAGATGCAAGGTTTTTGGATGAGAATGAAAATGTTAATTGTTACGGCAATCAATCTGGGGAACTCGATAGTGATATTGGTTCACACGAGGAGCGTAATTGGCAACTTGATATACTCGAGCAAGTTGTAGGGACTAAATTAAATACAGAAAAATCTGTTAAAAACAAAAAAATGTTAAGATTTGATCCTTCTAATGACGAACATCAGAAATATTTGCACCAAAATAAGTTATCTTTGACAGACGGCAATTTTAATGAAAACAAAATTTGTGAGAAAAAAATTTTGGAGAATTATGTGGTATCTAAAGATGTGTTTTATGAAGTGTCAAATACATTAACGCAATCGCTTAAAACTAAAACATATGGCTTTAGTTTATTAAATATGTTTGGAAAGGAGGAAAATTTAAATCAACGTGAGAAACAATTTAAAAAAAATGCTAACAAAAAGATACTTTTAAGTAAATCTGATATTTTAATTACCGCAAATCCATTTCCTTATGACTCATCTTCTGCATCCGAAAATGAACTGGAGAAAGAAATTGAAACTTCTTTAAAAGACAAAACATGGAATAAACTTAGGAAAAATAACGTTATTACAGAAACCTTTTTTATGTCAAAAAATGATGCTAGACTTAAAGGTAATTACGAATTTCTTCCTTAAATATATACAATTAAATAGTTTTTCTTTACAGATGGTTATAAATTTTATAAATATAACAAAAAAAGTGAAAACCAGGAAAGTTATGAAAATGTTCGTAATCAGCTAAAATATCTTATTAAAACAAAAATAAATAAAAATAAAAAAAATGTGACGAACTTGAAAAAAAAATTAAAATAAATTGTCATTTATTAATAATTTAAACTCTTAACAATATTTATATATATGTTACATTAATAATATTAGTAATAATTGTAAATACTCAATAATTCAGTTAAATTTTATTAATTTAACAAAATCTTACAATACAAATCGGTTAATCTTATTTATTTATGAAGTAAATTATTTAGTAAAGAGGTTTTTTCGAACAGTAGTGAACTACAACAACATATATTATTTTAATTAATTTAATTTTTGGCTGTTTCGAGTATTGCCACATACCCATCATCAGTGGTCTTGGAAAAAATTCTTGTATTTAGTTATTCGTAAATAATAATTTTTTTTGAGACTGCAAGTACCAGGAATCGAACTCGGGTCCTGCCAAATATAAAGCTCTGAATCAGCGCACCTTAACCAACTGATCCAAAGTCGTACTTGACTTTTTATGTTCGCATATTTTTGCTGGAGTTTTGTTACTTTTGCTATGAAAGTTTTTATTAACAATTTTACTTGCTGTATTTATATATTAGAACGAAATCATAAACCAGCTGTAGAATAATTGAATTAATTAATTAATTATATTTCTTATTTTTAATTGTTAAATTTCAATACTATTCTGTTTTAAATTATTTAGAAAATATATATATATTCGAAATTTAACATAATTTCATTAAATTGTATAAATTAATTATTTGGACTATTTAAAAACAATATAACAGAACAATATAATTAACTCTCACAATATATATCAGTTAATCCTATTTATTGATGAGCAGCTAAATTGTTTAGAAAAATTTCACATACGCGAAATTCAACATAGTACAGTCGAATATAAAATAAAACCTTATTGGTCAGTTAAATTGTATGTAACATACACGACCTAAAAATTCTATGTTATTCAGATAACATTAGTTATGTACGCCTGTGTAAAAGAGTATGTGTTGAAGTGAGAAATACAAAACAAACATTGAAGATACCGCCTGGGATGTTCCACTTTGTCCAGATGGCACCCGACATAGAGCCTGTCTCCCTTTCCTGTTTTTCTTTCCAAGATATGACCTGGGACGTTCCGCGTTGTCCAGATGAAACCCGACATAGAGCCTGTCTCCCTTTCCTGTTTTTCTTTCCAAGATATGACCTGGGACGTTCCGCGTTGTCCAGATGGAACCCGACATAACGCCTGTCTCCCTTTCCTGTTTTTCTTTCTAATCAGTAGCACCTTACTGATAACCTTAACATTAGCACTATCATATTTCTTTTATGGAAATATGTTAATTTAAATATTTTTATATTATTTAAAACACAATGTGCATTGCTCGTACTTGCCAAGCAAAATAATAAGTGAAAGTTTTTGTACATTTTTGTTTTGATCAGAAGTGGAAATGAAAGCTTTAGGAGTTGGGAACAGCAATGCTGGCAAAGTTATGCACAAAAATAATGAAAATAAGGTATGCATAAAATGAAAAAAGGAAAAAAGTGATTCCAATCTTTCGATATTCGGAATGAGCAAAAAGAAGGAAAAACAATATTAACTTATAGTTTTGAAAGTGGCCTCAAGAAGTGCGCGGAAATATTTAGCAATCGGGATGATTACAGAAATAATTGGAATATAAAAGAGGACAGTTGGCGAAAAAAAAGGATTTTCTTCTTTCTGTGTGCTTGGCGTTTTAAATTACAAACCGCGAGAGTTAATCAAGAATTGCATTTGTTAATAAAGGACGTTTAAATTATTGAGAAGCAGAAGTTGAAACAGTGATTGAAATATTAAACATATATTGAATTAATTCGTTTTGAACATTTTTTTAAATAATGATCACTAAATGTATTGATGCGGTTAATATCCTTTTTGCTAGGATATAATTATGTAATCTTGATTAACTGTCCGCCTTATTAAGAGATAAAATTTTAAAATACAAATAGTCAAAGAGCCTTTAGTTCGCATGCAGTGAAAAAAAAGAAATAAACTATTTCTGCTGAAATGTGATGTTCGGAGGGTGATTTAAATTGAAAAGTAAATTAAAGGAGGAGCGCTTCTAATGATTTTTAACTGCGGCTAGAAAAGGCTACAATGACTTCTGAAACACTATGTTTTATCGGGATAGTTATACTGGAGTAATTATAATCTCTTCATCTAGATGTGAGGACTATTTCACTGAAATTTTGCGAGACTTTTAAAAGAATCTGGGAACTAGCGCTTTGATTGCGGGTTCTGTTGTAGTTACTTGGATATATTAGAGGTATGTTGAATAACAATGCATATTACAAACTACCTGAAGTGAAAGTCACCGAAAAGAAATAAAAAAATAAAAAAAAAACGAAAATTTCATCGTTGGAGTCTTTTTGTATTATTATATTGTTATTTTTTACTAATATTTTTATTTTTAATTAATTTTTTCCATTGTATTAATTAATTTCTTTTATTATTAAGTTTCTTTTAATTTAACTTTAATTTTTAATTAGTTTTTAATTAGTTTTTAATTTGAGTTTTCTGTGTGGTCGTTAAATAAATTTATTTTCTTTAATAATAATAATAGCACACAGAGGCTTAAGGACCTAAACTGCTGGCGCTCGATTGCTTTCGGACATGGTAATATAGCATCAATCTATCCGATAGATGAGGGCAGAGACTCAGACTACCTATGTCCTCGGTTACAACTTCGCCACCTAAACTCCTTTAAGAGGCCATTGAGAGTCGGAATTGCTTACAACACTAGGAAAGATAACTAATATCTACACCGACGGGTCTAAAATGGATGAACGCGTTAGAACCGGAATCTTTTCTACGGACCTAATAATTAATAAATCATACCATCTTTTAGATTTCATCTCAATATTTCAGGCTGAAATTTTTGCCATCCTTAGGGTATGTGTTCTTGCTTTAAATATGGGCTTTCACGGAAAGGAGGTCTACATTTTAACTGACAGTCAGGCAGCTATTAAAGCCTTATCAGTAGTCTGTATGTCATCCAGATTAGTGCAAGAATGTAAGGAATTTATCAGTGCACTAAACGAGAGGTTCAAGGTAACTCTAGTCTAGGTTTCCAGACATCCTAATATTGTGGGAAATGTGCGTGCTGACAAGCGTGCTATACTAGGCGTCTGTTCCACGGATATCCCTATTTCGATCCCTGTCCCTGTCACCTACGGTCGAAGGTTGATCAACGACCATTTTTTGCGATAGACAAATAATGAGTGGATCCTTATTGCCTCAGCAGCCAGGTCAAGGGCTACTTGGCCAATCTATTCCAAATATAGGACCTCTGGCTTAATTCGTAAAAGCAAATCAGGAGTATATAGGCTAATATCTGTCTTTACAGGATGTTGGTCCATAGGACGGCATGGAGCTAGACTCGGCCTATCCTGGGGTACCTCTTGCAGTGCGTGTCTACCAGCTCTCGAAGAAATGACACCAGAACACTTGATGTGTTATTGTCCAGATTTGGTCAGAACTAGATTTAAGTTTCTAGGGGACCCCATCTTCAATTCACTCGGCGATATCTCCAGCATCACCATTACCCAAATTTCTGGCTTTTTAAATGCTTCTGGCTAGTTCTAGTTTATTCTTCTCTCTACTACCCACTATTACGAGGTTTTTGTGGACTCAAAACGGCGTTTTAGCTAATTGAGGACTTGTCCTCCCTCCAACACAACTAACTAACAAGAATAATAATAATTATTAATTTTTGATAGTGATTTTTAAAGACTATTAAGTCACATAAGTCGAATATATTGGTAATATTTCTACAAGCATATCAAATGCCTTTGTTTTTTTGTTATATATCTTATATAGATTGTTTTCTAAAAGTTTTTTAGCTAGGTTCGTCAACAGCGTGAGGTGACGTCATTTCAGCGATGATGGTAAGTGCTTAAGTACAAACTTGCTTCGTTACAAAAACAAAAAAATAGATAAAGAAAATAAAAGACAAAACGCACATCAAAAACATCACCAAATTGATGTGTAGCAGAAGTTCTTTTATATTTTGTTAACTTCATTTTTCAATATATTTTTTTTGTTTGTACATATTTATTTGTTTGTCATTTTATATATATATACACATAGCAGAAAAAGTCTACGGATATTTACAAAATTTTTCTTAAATTACGCACAACTTTTTTAATTTTTACTGAAATTCATTTTTATTTTCTGATTTATTTTAACCAAAAAAACAGCAATAAAGTTCCAATATAAAAAATTAACAGTTATTCTTAACAAAAAAATTAAACACAATTATATGCAAAAGCAGCAATTTTTGAAGCAGGAAAAGCAAATGTACCTATAACACTCTCATCGGTAAGTGGAAGATCCGTACTATATAGAAGATAAAACATTGGTCCCATTATGCTACCTTGAGGTACTCCTGCTTCTATACCATGAAGTACTGTAGTTTCGTTTCCATGCTTAATGAAAAAGTGCTTTGCCGAGAGGTATGATTTAATAATTATGAAAACATTTAGGGGTAGATTCAGTTTTAGTTTGAAAAGAGGTCCCTCATGGCATACTCGATCAAAAGCTTGTGAAATATCTATAAATGCCGCAGTGCAATATTTTTTACCATCTATCGCACTATGGATATGTCTGACAAGTCTATGAATTTGTTCTATTGTGCTATGTTTTTGGCGAAAGTCGAATTGATGGTCAGGGATGAGTTTGTTTTGTTGGATAATCGGTGTAATGCGCTTTCCACAACTTTCGACTGGATCGGTAGTAGACTTATTGGGCGATATGATTTGACGTCTTCTGGGCTTTTCCCTGGTTTCGATATCATGGAGATTTGCGCTATCTTCCACTGTGGTGGAATAAACCCCCTTATTACCACAGCGTTAAATAAATGAGTCAGAAATACAAATCCTTTTGGTGGAAGCTGCTGCAAGGCCATGCCTGTGGTTAAATAGTATCCTGGAGTTTTTTTACTTTTAACTTCGTTATTACATCCCTAACTATATTAATAGTATATCCTTTAATTGGAAGTTCCAATTGATAAGACTCTTGTAGAAAATTTATCCTTTGTTTCATGATATCAGTCATATTTTGATTATCATTTGGTTTAAAGACCTGGTCCAAACGTAACGCGAATGTTTCCGCTTTTTCAATATCGGTTTTTGCCCATGAGTTGTCGATTTTGCGTATAGGTGGTTGATAAGCAATCGGTCTGTTATTCTTTTTTATGGCTTTCCAAATGGAGTATTTTGTATCACTTGAAGCACTTAGGTATTGGAGGTATAGAGACGTGCGATTATTGTTATACTTTATAAAAGCGACTTTAACGAGTTTACATTATTTGTTTAAGCGAGTTTTATCCGCAGGGAATCTCGTCTTTTGCCAATGTTTTCTCATCCTACACTTTTCTTTGATCAGGTATTTAATGTTAAATGGATAATCTTGCTTTACACTTTTAGAAAACGGAGAAGTTGATTCCAATGCAGACATTTGGACACAAGAGTTGAAATGCTCTACTGCTTCAGTTACATCAGATTCAGTTTTCAACCTGACTTCGGTATTTAGTCCAGATGTAATTAGTTGACAGTAACTGTTCCAGTCATTATTTTTGTTATTGAGAATACATTTTCTATAATTTCACAGCAGTCATTGAGGGTGATTATTATTGTCGACTGGTCAGATGACAAGTCGAAGTTGAACTTATGGTACAGGTAGTTGTCTCGATACATACCCCCTTTGATACCGCAAAATCAATAAAGTCAGGTATTTTTCTTCTATCCGTTGGCCAGTATGTGGGTTCACCTGTTGAAATTGTGTAGAGATTGAGTACATTAATTGCTTCGAAAAGTTGTCATCTTTTTGAGGATATTAGGCGGGAACCCCATTTTAAGTGTTTAGCATTAAAATTTCCGCCTACTAGTAACCTAGATCCAAGCAGCTGAAAAAATTAAATGTACATATCCTTCGAGATACTGTGGCGCGGTGGGCTGTAGAGTGATGAGAAAGTCATGTCGCCTTCTTTAGTTTGTACGACAATGTTTGTTGCCTGAATTTCATTCGGCAAAAAGGTTGTACTTCATAATGTTTTATCGATTTCTTTATGAGGACCGCAGAGCCACCATTTCGTTTACCATTGGGATGCATTGTGTGATAAAGTACTTAGTTCGGAATTTCAAAGAAACTACGAGTCGTGAAATGGGTTTCTGATATCAGCATTATGTCGACCTGATTTATTTTTAAGAATGCTTTTATTACGACAGTATGTTTTGACAGACCACTGGCGTTTTATATGACTACGACTAAATTAAGAATTTTGTTTAGTCGTCAAGTTGATTAGTAAATTTGTCATTACTACGATTTGTTGCATCATTTGCTTCCACAGTGATGTCATCTCACGGAATTCTTTCACAAAATTAATTGGAATTGGTGAAAGCTTCTCCTCTGTTTGACTACTGGTGTCTGACTTCACCATTTGTGCGAATATTTGTTGTTTAGAGAATGATGATTTTTGTTTAGAGAAAAAAGAGGATATTGAATTTGCACTTCCGGCGCCCTAGGCCTCAGTTGGGGATACATTTTTTTTACAGGTTTTTGTATATTTGTCATCCTTGTAGTTGGCCGGATGATTTCTCTCACATAAAACATATTTGACATCATTGGATCTGCTTTTCCTTTCGCAATTTACAGATGCATGGTTTCCAGCGCACCTGATGCATTTGGGTTTGCGGTGACAGTATCCTTTCGTGTGCCCATACGTTTCGGGTGAGGTGGTTCAAATGTAACTGTAGTATATAAGAGTTTCTTAACCAAATAGATATCCTTATTATTTAGGTTTGATGCAAGTTCAATAATAAACATGGGAAGAGGTTCTCCTGACCCTCTACGCTTAATGTTCCAAACGTTTACAGCCGTATGTTCTTGCTCCAGAAGTGCATTTTTGATTTCATCAATATCGGTTGAGTGATGCAAATTTTTTAATATAATCCTTAAGCTTCTCTCGGTTTTTGGTTTGTAAGTGTAAAATTCAGTGTTTTTGAGCTCCAACTGTTTTACATTGCTTACGTAAAAGTCAGATGTAGAAGGTTGAATTCTTACTTGACTTGGATTTAGTACTTTTAAGTTGAATTGATTCGGTTCATGTTCGTTTAACACATATATTAGAGGCATGATGCAATATACCTCATCAATAACGATAGATGGATGTTTCAGTATTTTTGGAACCGTATCATTATTTTTTAACAATTCTTCAGTTTCTTTAGAGACATCTACCTGAAGATCTGTGTATCGGTTTGGTTTGACGTGTTCATTTAGCCAGTATGAGTCTAGCTTGTTTGATAATTTTTACTTGGCCTATCGCGTTGACGTTTACGATTATTAACTATTGTCCAAGTGTCGTTAACAGAGGTAGCGTTTCTGGTGGCTACACCTTGATTCGATTCTTTGTCTTGGAGGAGTTTATTTTTTTCTTCATTATACAATTTTTGAAACTGTTGTTGAAGCTGTAGAATTTGTTGTTGTATATTTTTCACCTGAACTGCTTTACCTGTTTTCTGTTTTAGATGACCCGAAGTCGCATTGCTGGGTGCCTGTTTTTCACAGATTCCTTTTATTTATGGTCTATTGTTCAAATGATCATAATTTTGAAATTTAAATTTAACTATTTCTAATAAAAAGAAAAAGACAAAAGTTAAAAAGTCATCACTTACATAATTCAGTTAATCTTATGTATTGATCAGATAAATAATTGAGAAATACCATCACTTTTTCAAAATTTAATAAAATGGAGTTAAATTTTAATAACAGTAAGTTAAATTTTTTAAAAGTTCGACTAATTGACCAAATTTCATGTATTCGAAATTTAATATAATCCATTTATTTTTATTAATAATCAGTTTCATTATTCAGGAAAAACTGCACTTCATAAAATCATACATTATTTAGTTAATGTCACTTAGGTTAGGTTAGTTTATGCCGACTTAGGGCTGTTGGGCCATTGTGTTACAGTACAGAGAAACGTTAGATGTTTAAAAATCACATTAAACCCTTAGCAAGACTTAAAATGCTTTTTAGTGGAAAGTCTTGATCAGGATCTTCAAAAAACATGAGGCCTCTGAAATATTAAAACGACGCAGCGCATGCTCTGGTTAATAACAAAGCAGATTTGAGACACTTTCATTGTTCTTTCCATAACTGATATAGGAATAAATAAAATCTGCTAACATGGTTTCCTAATCGGTTATGACCAGTGAGGCTGACCACAACTCACCATAAGATAGGACTACTAGATTTTTTTTAACCAACTTGCAGATGCCTACATACATATCATTGAATCTTCTTTTAATCTATTAATTAAAAGTTCAGCAGAGAAAGAGTTTAATAAAAGATTGCTTAATGTTAATGATATGCTCAGATTTTTAATGTGTTTAAAATGATTACCTAAGGCAACCCATCTGTCTAACTCGTCTGTGTAGAAATTTGTTTTACTTTATTGAGTAATTAAGAAAGAACACATTAATAAGTAAGCAAAAACTCACGCCACAAGGAATCGCGTTGTCATAAGTATCTTAAAACTATTTCACAGAAATGATGCTAGATTTGCTTTATAATATTTTCCATATTTTCCCCTCATATCGGACATAATTTCATACAATATTTCGATTTTATAATATTTCATTATTAATTGATAATCACCATCCTCAGTTCCTTCATGCATTTCTCGTGATTTTGTGTTGGAAGCCCTTTCGTCAGTACGTACGGTGACATATCTTCAGTTGCCATGTATTGGATTTATTAATCCAATTTATTAATTGCATCACGAATAAAGTGGTGACGTATATTGATATGCTTCGTTCTATTATGAAGCAAAGGATTCTTGCATCACTTTGTTGCACGATGATTGTCTTTATGTATAGTGATGAAATCATCTTGTCGTACTTCTTCGTTGATAAAGCGTTTTAGATACAGAACTTCTTTTGTTAAATCGCATACTGTCGTCTACTCTGCGTCAGTGCTTAAGACAGCTGTCGTTTCTATACTTTGTTCGTGTCAGATTTCTTCTCCTTTTAAAAAGTTTATCATTAAATCACACGTATATTCGGTGCTGTTATCAGTGTGGAGAGTATTCATTTTCTTTACAGTCCTTCTTTCTACTAGATTCTTAAATTCTTTATGAACGTGATGAAATATTTAGAGCAACCTAATGACGTCACGTACATGGGTCCGCATATGTCGCTATGAATGAGTTCAAGTACTTCATTGCTATTGGATTCAGATTTCTGAAACGATTTTTTGCACTGCTTTTCTTCAAAGGAGACATCACATAAAGGTAAGCTAGATTTTGCATTAACATCTATTTCAGTTACTTTTTTTTTCTTTTTTTTTAACTTTCTTCATTTAAGTCGTTTTCGTTTAAATGGCCAAATATTTCGTGCATATCAACCAGTAACATTTGTTTCATTTGAGTTAGCGCAGTAGTTTCGTCTTTTGAACATCTCCTGTACGGAAATTTTTTACAACAGCAATATTTTTCTTAAAAATTACTGTAAACCCATGTTCAGTGATTTTTGAAACTTACTGTAAATTCGTGTGCAAATCTGGTACTAATAGCGTCTCTTCTAATTTTACATTCCAACCAGTCTTCGGTTTGATGTTAACGATACCGATCCCTTTTATGTCAGTTGAATTATTGTTGGCAAGAGCTAATGTTTTACCACTTGTATTAGCGATTTCATGAAATTTCGCTTTTTCGGTACACTTATGTGTTGAGGGTTCTGAGTCGAGACACCACTTATTATTTTTAAAACCCTCATTTATGTTAAGTACCTCTTCTGTGTTGTAAGCTGTGTCAATATGTCGTGCTTGCATCTTTTTCAAAAAATTTTGCTTTGCACTCTCTTGCTCTCTTGCAATTGTGATTCGTTTTTCCATTTGTGATTCGGTTGTCTTTACTTACAAATAAAGCATTTTGCACTCCCTCTTTCGGAATTTGATGACGAACTTCGTATTCTTCGATCAGTTTTACTTTGAGTTGTTCTGGTTTAGATAACTTTACTTGCGACTCTACTGCAATTCTGAAATTTTTGAATTTGTTTGGAATGCTAACAGCAATAAAATTGTTAAAACCTCGTCAGTAATTTTAAGTTCAATTTCGTTAAGTCGCTTTGATTGATAAATTGCGTGCAAATTATCGCACACTTGTTTTGATGTGTTATAGTGCTTAATGTGCTGCAGGTTCGGTTGGAGATATCGACAATATGAGGTCTGATCTCGTTTTGGAATCGTTTTCTTCCCATTCTAATACTTTTTCTTGTGGTGTGCTTTGTAACGATACTTTTTGGGGAGCGTGGAAATATAAAATTTTGCTGGGGTATCCTCAGCCATTGTCCAGGGTTGTACAATAAAATTTATATTTGCTGGATCAGAGTTTTACATCAAAGTCGTGGTTTTATAAGATTATAAAAGTTTTATTTACTTATACTTCAAAATATATAAAAAAATACATATACTTATAACTCAAAATCATTTTTACCTAAAATCAAAGAAAATTGTTATTTAAGCGCGTAGTTTTATTGTAATGGTGAGCTAATGTCACAAGCACACACGAATTGCACACGAATCTCTCAAACTGACGGAATTTGTGTGGAAAAAAATTAATCAATTGATTGAATAAACCAGGTCAGTAAATGATGAAATGGCTGAATGAGCTAGGTTAATAAATAATAAATTGCCTTGATGAGCCAGGCGAATAAACACAACATTGGCTGAATGAGCCTGGTGAATAAATAATATATATTGGCTGAATGAGCAAGGTTTGGTATAATTTACTAGTAAGCAACGAACTTGTCACTTCTAAAGTCAAATCACAAAAACCTGATCGTATTAAATGCGCGCTTTTTATATCGAATATACCGGAGCTTATTGGTGTAGCGTACCGGTAGATTTGCCTGTGATATTTTTGCTGTAAGTTTTTGTGCTATTTGTGTTATTTTTTTGTGCTTTTTGTGTTTTGTGTTTTTTCCGTGTGCTTTGGGTTGTGTTTAACAAAAGCTTTAATGCTTTGACGTTTCTTGTGTTGTTTATAAATGTGTTTTTTAAATACTGTTATCGTTTTAATATTTATTAATTATTGTAATAAAAGAGATATTATTAAATTAAAAATATAAGTACAATTAATAAATAAATACGGTAAGTGTGTTATTTAATTATTTTTACTACATAATTCTATACAATAAATTTCGATGTAATTGCAGATCACTTGGATGAACTGAAGATGCATGCTGCAATCTTTTTCTTGCGGTGGTAGATTTTAAGTAAATATTTTAAAATGATTATATTAAATA